TAAAAGCTTATGCAGATGATGGTATTGACCATTCAGTGACCCCTTAAGCACCAGGGAGCCAGTGACCAGGTTAGGTTTAATTATTTCAGAGGGTATCATACTAGGTTTCCACCATTGATTTTGATTTGTTGGTCTACTCGGCACCTTTCTGACTAGGAGTAGTTTTTATTCATTAAAACTATACTGGTGTTGTAGAATTATAGAATTCTTGAAATTATCTAAGCTAATGCTTTGTCAGGAAGAAATGTGCTGAATAATAAAATGTGTATTTACTAAAAGAACCTTGAAGCTAACAATACTAACTACTCAAAATGGCTGCCAAAGCACCCCTCCCATCGAGTGAACACCTCGTGCTAACAAGATGGCGCCTACATCTTGTGTCCACTCCCGTGTCAAGGATGACATCACCTCTTGATAGGAGGGTATCTAACTAACCACTTAACACCTGGACCAATCAATAGTGTCTATTTGCTGTTATCTTGAATTCTTCAGTGATGTAATAATGCCTTTAAAAGGGTCTGCGCACCCATTTTCTGTCAGAAGCCATTAAACTTCTCCGAAGTTCTTTCATTAACCTGAACTCTGTGTCTCAGTGTGAATTTACTTCTGCGTGCACGCAACTTTATTATCTTTAATTTGGACAGGAACAGATAGTCATTCAAACTAATTGGTTTGCAGTAAATCAACTACAACAGCTGGCGCCATAACGTGGGGCTCTGGGCTATGTCCTGCCTGGGCAGCTGTCCAAGAAGACGCTGGGGGGGGATGAATCCTGGGGGAAGGAAAAGAGCCTGATCACCTCTGAATACACGGTAGAGATTGCTGCAGCATGTTCCTACCCCTGTGATTGACCTGTCCCAGTGTCTGTGACTGCTGCCGAGAGGACATCAAAGTCAGGTAATAACTTGCCCAGAGTCTTTGTATTGTTAATGATACTTAATTTACCTGCATGTTGACTATCTGTTGCCTGGGTGTGTTTGTATTGGTTTGTGTTTAATTTAGTACCCGGGGAGTGTGAGTGCCTGTTTACTCCTTTTAGGTACCACATGGCTATGGTAGTAAGGAAAAAGGGGGGTGGACCTGTGGAAGTTTTCCTGGGGGTCCTCTATTGCCTGTTTAACTCTTTTAGGAGCCACGTAGCTGTGGCTGTAAGGAAAAAGAGTAGGGGGAATCTGTGGAGGGTGGTGTAGACTCACTGCTTCCTGGGGGTTCCCCATAGTGTCGCTTTGACTGCTTAGCTAGCCTCATCGGACACTTCTTCTTGGTAAAATTCCAGCCTCGAGCGCTGAGGCAGGTAAGATTCCAATTCTTTAGGCTATACAGGATTCGGGTTGGAAGCTGTTGCTGTTTCCTGTGGCTGCTGGTAGTGAGACTTGCGGGTGGGTCCGCAACAGGGACACTACGAGGTTGAGGGAGGTGGCTTTTGGCCACACGAGTAAAGGCAAGGGATAAAACTGTTGAACTTATTTGAACTGTGATGCATGCACTGTATTTACACTGAAATGTTATTGTCTTAATTGTCTGTCACACAGATTCCTGTGTTTACTTTTATCTTACTCACTGTACTATTTACACTTTCCCCTCCTATTTCTCTTTCTCTGTTGAGAGAAGTGATTGGTCACACACTTCTCGCCACGCTCCAATCCGCGGCTACCACGGGTAGGCGGAATCAGTGACTAGTCTACGTTTTGGGAAGATGTACTTAAAGAGCTTGCTCTTAAAGTAGCAGTCGAGCACGGTTGACGTTCTGTTCCTTTCTCTCTCTATATCTGGGACGCCTTGTATAGGGAAGATGGGACAGAAGTTAGATAAACCCAGTAAGGGTTGGTTAGCATGTGATCTAGTGGAAGACAGAGAAGGAGAGGAGATGGTTAAGAAAGTGAGTAAGATTGCTAAAGTATGTGGAATTACCGTACTTCTGTGCGGCAGATTGTAGCCAGAGAGCTGGCATAAGTTACTGACAGAGAAGAAAGGGAAGCTGTCGGACCAAGATTTGGTTTGTACAGCAGAAGCCTGGTACCGAGTAGCAAGAGCTATTCAACAAAAGGGATAGGTTGAGGAAGAAATTGATCACA